CAGATGCATTTTTCTTTGTTTTACTTCTTTGTCCTTTTGTGTGTTTGTTTTGCATAAATATGTTTTATGTGTTGATAGAAACAACTCAATAACTATATCTATGATCCTGCTATTGATTAATGATATCCTTTGTTTAACCCATTGTCTTTATTTTACACTTCTTATTTCTACCTTTTACTAGTTTTATGCTTTTAGCCCGAGTCTTTGTTTCATTGCTAACGTGTCTTTCATTTCATTGTGAAGCACATTGAGCTGCATTGTACGTATGAAAGGTGCTGGATAAATAAAATGTAATATCATTGAAACTAATAAAGAACAAAGTGTTGACATTTCTTTTACACGGTGACGTTTCAGTGTATTTTGGCGGGTTCACCGGAAACGCAGTGCTTCACTGGGGCCAGCTCGACACAGATCCTGCCTCTCTGCTCCAGAGCCACTCGGGCCCCAGAGGTTTTTACAGATGTTTCCTAAAAACACTTCCGCCTCGTGTTAGCTCAGCGGAGGCAGCGGCTACACGCGATGTGGAACCAGAACGACCGAGCCACAGTTTCCCCGCAGATCTGATCTGAGCTCAGTTTGTTCCAGAGTGAACAAAGATCTACTCACACAGCCGCAGTGGTCCCTCCCCCGATATTTGTCAACAGACCTGACAAAGAGCTGCCGCCTCTGCGCATGCGCCACAGGAAGTCAAGTCACGCATATCCAGTTTCTTTTTTCTTTTTAAAAAATTGAAACGTGCACAAAATGCACAATACAACACTCACACACACGTTTGGAGAAAATATAATACCGTGTGTACTTTAAACAGTTAACAAATTATCCTGACACGTGCTTGTGTATGTTATACATCCTGTATTCACTGATTAGCAGGGGCACACAAAGTTAAAACAAGTTCCCTGTTGTATTGATGGTTTTATTTTGACACGATAGATTACAACGTAGTTAACTTGACGCAGGTACAATGACAGACTGAGCCGGGAGGGGTCAGTGTTGAGCGTGGTGTTGAGGTGCGTGATCGCGCGCGAGACAACACGATTTTAACGAATTCGTCGCAAACATTTCTGGAACATTTGACAGGAAACTATAAAATTCAACCAACCCTCGTGGCGAATAGAATAAAAAACAACAACATCAAAGCCACCACCGTGCTTTGATCTGTCAGAGCTCCGTTCGACTGGTTTCACTCAGAACATAAGAGTTCGACGTTTTATTGGTGAATAGGCGAAAGAGCAGTTCAGTGTGAGAACAAAGTGTGGAGGTGATGGAGGAGTGAAGAGAAGGAGAGAGAGAAGGAGACAGTGGAGATAGAGAAAACACTGGACAGCGCCCGTGGGTTCGATCCCGTGAGGGACTGGTGATCGTTTATTCTCAATGAGAAAGCTGATGAAGTAACCACTGAGCTAAACCAGCGCGATCATTAAGCCTGGATGGAAACTATATAAACAGGAGTGATGTGATGTGTCTGCATAGACTGTTGTCTTCATGATGATACAGACATTTAATCTTCCACCCGTTTATTTTCTCTCTGTCAACCAAGTCACAAAACATTAATTGACTTTATTTCCTCCAAGGAGATTGTTTTTTCAACTGTTTCTTGGTTCTTTAATGAGTCTGTAGAATTGAGTCACTTCTACTGAGGAAGTTGCATGTTGCAGCTGAACACCCCTCACCTCACCCTCCACTTCCAAACGTGAAAGAGAACCTGTGGTAGCTTCAGTTGTCATAAAAACTCAAAAGGTGTTTCGTTTGTCCAGTCTGGACTAATGTAAAAAACATGGCGGCCTCCGTAGAGATGTAAATATGAAGTATTTAAATATAAACAGCCTTTTGTGGAGTAAAGAAAACTACAGTTCATACAATTTAGATGAAATGAACTAGTGAAAACATCATGAGGATTATTCTACATTAAATTTCTGCCAATAGTTCCCTGTCACCTAAATCTTACACACTGGAGCTTTAAATACAAAGGGCTCATTCTAGGGTAAAGAAAACAACAATTCATATAATTTTGATCAAACACACTATTGAAAACATCACTGGGATTATTTTCATCTGCCAATAGATGAATATGAGGAGACAATCTCTCTCTGCATGTGTGAACGGCAAACTGTGGACAAAGTCCGGTCCCTATCCTCTGGAGATCCTCTGCAGGTCATGTCTGAAATCAAATTATCTGAGTGTGTGCATCGGTGGAACCTCAGCTTCATCTGGCTCCACATGACATCATCAGCACGAGGCATCAGCATTCATTTCCAAGAGAGTTTGGTTTAGTTTCTGGATGTTGGTAGGAAGGGGAGACATGTCGAGCATCTTTAAATGCAGCCACTGGTCTGAACACAAGTGTTTGAGCTGTCATCTGAGGTTTGGTTAATTAAAGGAGAACTGGACAGTCGGGTATAACACACACATCTTTATTGACATTTGCTATTTCACATCAGTGTTTCTAATTTGACATGACTTCCACATGTGGCAAAACATGTAGTTACCGTGACACAGAATCTAAATAAAAGAACATTGAATGTTAACTCAAGCAGAAATTAAAGCTGGAAATAATTATGGCTGATGTTACCACCTGTCTCAGGAGGTTTAAATTAAGTATAATACACAATAAAGACCTAAAAAACAAAGGCAATCAACAACATACCGACTGTGGGTTTACTGCTGCAGAATAACTGTACTGTGATTTTAGAGGAAAGGTTCTTAGTTCTGCAGTTGTAAGGCAGCGTATACAGTTTACTCAGGCAAAAATTACAGCTGGCACTTTGATAGAAACTATAGGAAAGCTGACCAATCATACACGTTTATTTCATTAGGCAACATTATGGTCTGCTACAGCGTCAGGTTTTCATCAGTAACATTAGAAAAACATGTAAACTGCTTACATTTTAAATAGGTCTGGATGAAAATCATTTAAGTTGTATTTATGACTTAGCAACTCATGATTACAGCATAAATACCGTGCAGGTGTGTAGATACAGATTCAATATTTATGAGTTTAATGATTTAAATTCATTGTATAATAACTTAGATTATCTCAAGACAACTAAACCATACATATGAGATCCATCTCAGGAGACACAGGTGTAATTATGACAAGTCAAAATGAATACAGAGTCATTATGATGATTTTTCTTATGTAGGTGAAGGTGTTGTGATTCAGCAAAACATGGTACCATCAACATGGCCGAGTTCATAATGTGTTCAGAGTGTGGCGATACAACAGTAATATACTGATAAGGTTTAGAGTAATATTGTGCATTATTTTCAGTTACATAAGGTCTGTCTCGCTTACTAACTCTACACAACAGTCGTATCCCTCATAGCCAGCACATGACAGCTAATAAGTTGCTGTGCGTCTGTGTCCTTCACCTTTTAAACTGTTCATTTTACTCCTGTATAACCACAAATGTAGCATTTACATTTAGTTAAAACCTCGTCTGCTGTCTAGTCTGATACAGATATTACAACCATTGTTTGAAGATGCAATCAGCAAAGCATAAACAGGAAAAGGTAACACTACACGGCAGCCCAGAGCACACTTAAAATCAGAGGCAAGAAAACTGAGAGCAGATGCAGGGAGAACCCCAGAGCTTAACATGGATTCTCCGCTGGTTTAGTAAAACTGGAAAAATTATAATGAAATATACTCGGGACAGCGTCATGTATATGAAATAAATTCTCTCTCTGTGGAGGTAGCTAGCATACTCTGAAAATGTGGTAAACCTCATTACAATCTAGATGAGCTGAATGAGGATCATGCAGAAAGAAAACCTCAGTGTGAGGAGGCTCACATGATGAAACTCAATACACTCCAGTGGATGAGACCTGATCAACTTGTGGAGGTGGAAAATCATCGACCTCCAGGGAGTTTAGAGCTGACGAATGAACGACTGAAATTACATTTATATTTACATTTCACAACCTTCACACCTAAATGAGCCGAGTGTATAATTACCAGCCAAAACACGGAGAATGTGCCCATGTGCTTTGAAACTGGTCTTTGGTACCATCATGTCATCTATTTTCAAACCAGTGCAGATAAAAGCTAAGAGAGGAACTCTGGTTTAACAACCCTTTTCTACCTGTTTGTGGAAACTAATACTGGAAAAATATTTAAGAATGTGTAGAGATATGCTTTAAAAACAATGCAGGGTTTCACCATGAGGATATCAGCCAGTGATGGTACTCTAAGGCTACATCCATGCTATTACATTTTCATGGAAACACATCAAGTCTGATATGGATGCGCCTGGCGTCCACACTACCCCGGAGTTTTAGGTCTTATTCTGTCTTTTACTTTGAAAACTGGTTGTGTTTTAGTCTGGACAGACAGAAACTGACAAACACACCCACTTGCTGATTGTGTCTTTTCGGTCATGATGTAGCCTCTGATTCGTCAGGCTCTCATCTCAGACCCTGATGTTTTTGCTAACATTTGATGTGCAGTTAGACTCTGTATTTTAAAAAGATACAACTGCTTACATGCTTATGAGACGAGCTATTATTTGTGTAGAGCGGCGCCTGCATGCCCAGTGTACATGAGAGGTTATGTGATATGCATTTTCAGGGGTGCTAGTATGGACGATGACTGAACTGATGTGGACAGAGATCGTTTTAGCTTGAAAACAGCTTTCAAACTAAATTGTAATAGTATGGATGTAGCCTAAGTGCTGAGGGTCGGGTTTGTGTCAGTGTTTGAAGGCCTTTTTTTTGCTTCCGATTGTTCATCACAGGCGGTTTGTCGGTGACTCTGAGGATAGCTCCATGAGGCACTATATGTAAGAACAGGCTGGAACCAAGACCAAGAGTGCTGCACCCTGCATTGACTCTGAACAAACTGATATTGACAGGAGACATTTTATTAGACTGAGCACAACATTGGTCCAAGTAGTGTAACAATTTATTTGCTGCTGAACGAGCTCATCTGGTGCAGAAGGAATAAACGGCACCATTTGACACTTTTAGCTCAATTTAAATGTGTAACATTAAAAAAAAAAACAGAATTCAAGTTTTTACTTGACAGAAGACTGTGAGGACCCAGCCAGCTGCGTGGCCCCGCCCCTCAGCGGAGCAGCATTACCTTGCGTCATTGAGCTGCCTGGCCACTGTCAAGATCTCCTTGGCTCCTTTGCTCAGCAGTAAGTTGGCCAGGTTCAACCCCAAACACTCAGCTCTGTCTTGAGCTTCACCAGAGATCTTGGTGGCTGTCACTCCCACTCGCTGGACCTGCTCGTCCACCTCTTCTGAGCTCTGTCACACAGAGGCACATTGTCAAAGTGAGGTTTGTGAGGTGATACGACGCGCACGCGGGCACACACACACACACACACACACACACACAAAGGAAAAAAGATGATTTCCCAGTGACTGCATGTTCCATCCAGACTGATTTTTGATGTTTGGCTGTTACCTTGTCAGCAGTAGCAGCGATGCTAGTCTGCATGGTTTCCTTCAGACTGTCGGATCCGTCCAGGCTGTACACTGCTCCCGTCAGGTAGAGCTGAAAAAACACGACAACTGTCACATTTACATTTATTATCTTAACCCAGACTTCTTCATTTTTTAAACTCAAAGTCTTCAGACCCAAATGAGTCCCATAACATCACTTGATGTCTTAAACAGAAGCTGGTTAACATGAACATGTCCGGCTGAGTGAATTCATGAAAATGGAACAGCTAGTTTTCACCACCTATCTACCAGGCATCATTTGCAAGTTCCATCAACAGCATAGTCACAATGAAGAGAGCAGACAAAAGCCATGTTTGCACCGAGGTTTGTATTTATCTTGTTTAACATTATACATTAAGTGTAAACAGGAAAGTCCCCAGAAAGTCCGGAGGCTCTACACAGTTCAGTGTATGTCTGAATTTGGTTCGAATTTTTAGAACAGATTTAAATCTGAAACAACAGATGCACGATCACATGTAAATATCTGTACTTCTATCAAACTGCTCAGCTTACTATCGCAGTCTGAAAGTTTGACATGCACACGTGTTTCTGTAAAAGATGCTTAGAAACCTCATAATGTGTATTTGTGACCAGCAAATCTTTCCGGGGGGAAGGTTACCAGTTTTTCCGGGAAACCCTTCGGATTCTTTGATCCCCTTGTCTGACAGCAACATAAACCAGGTGTCTTTTTTCAAATGACGTCTAAGAAACTGGTTTACAGCAGGAAGCTAACAGTGACTCAGTTATTCAAGTGCCTGTTAATGCTGGTTCGTAGGTTGCAGTGTGTCTTTACACATATTGTAGCCTCCTCATGTTCTGTTGAATGATGCACTGCTGTTAATGTGTGTCTAAACTTTGCAATCTTACCTGTGAGTCTTTTATTTCGGTGTTTACAGCCACTGGAACACTGCAGCCACCCTCCTGCAAATGGCAAACATTTTATTTGAATACACTGTGTCTGCCATGTTCATAGAAAAGGAAATGAGTGGTGGAATCTGTGTCTGCTTGTGTACCAGCTGTTTGAGGAAAGCTCTCTCGGCTATGCAGCGCAACACAGTGTCAGCGTCGTGAAGGACGGACACCATTTCCAGGATGTCTACATCTCTGGCCCGTACCTCCACTGCCAGAGCCCCCTTAAAAAAGACATACAGACATGTTAGCATAATCAACCATCAATCATCCATCAATCATCCATCAATCATCCTCCTGTTGTATGAGTCACATGTTCCAATTACCTGTCCAACAGCGTACATACAGTCTTCAGGCTCCAGGATCTACCAATGAAAAATAAAGAAATAGAGTAAATGAGAAAGGTCACACAGGAAAACTTTAAACAGAGAACCAGGATATGGTCAGAACTGAACCTGGCTGATCCGGTTCTCCCAGCCCATTCTCCTGAGGCCAGCAGCAGCCAGGATGATGGCAGCGAAGTCCTCTTTCTCATCCAGCTTCTTCAGACGTGTGTTCAGGTTTCCACGCTGAGGACTACAGCTAAGGACAGAAACTTTGGCTTGACCATCACACCCTTCCTCATTCGAAATATATATATATATATCTCCTTAAACCTGAATATGAAACAGATGGTGTGTTGTGTGGTAAAACACAAATAAGTTCGGTCTCATTTTCAGCTGCTTTCATTTGTTTTCTTGAAGGATACGATGTCTTTGAACACGAGGTGGGGGAATCTCTTCTTCAGCTGAGCAGCGCGGCGCAGTGAACTGGTGCCGATCACACTACACAAACACACAGTATGAGGTCAAGTTATTCATACCTTTGATATGACTGTGAAGCAAGTGCAACTAGAGAGACCATCCATTGTGCCTCACCTGTTTTCTGGCAGAGAATCAAGAGTTTTCCCTGCATTTTTTGGATGTAGAACCACTGCATCATGGGGATTTTCTCTCCTAGAAGAAAATAAAAACAAAGCACGGTCAAAGAGTCTACACCTAAAATTCTATAGGGATCTGCAGAACGGACAATCAGCAACATTTGACTTGTCCTGAGATTGGAGTGGAGAGCTGTAGAGGTGGCGCACTTACTTCATCACAGCTCCGATGGTGAATCCTGGAGGCAGAGTGGTGGGAAGGTCTTTCAGTGAATGAACAACCAGATCAACCCTGTAGGACACAGAAGAACCCAGTCATATACACGCCCCTTTTATGTTTCAATGCATACTATAGTACAACCACTCAATGGTGTGACATATTTTATATCTTCAAAGCAGCCACAGATCAGAGAGCTTTGCAGCACCAGAGGAAATCAAAGTGAGAGGATGTTGAATGGCAGCTTCAATACAAAAAGTAGGAGTCTTCCGGAGTGAAGCCCTTTCAGTTAAACAGTCTGTGTCAGCTGAGGAAACAATGATGTGAAGACAGTGTGGTGTCAGCCACAGATGACACAGGTCCTACTCACTCATTCTTCTCCAGAGCAGTCTCCAGCTCTTTGGTGAACAAACTCTTCTCTCCAATCTGCAGGACAATCAAACCACATTGTTATTTTACATCCATCTGTTACACTGAATGAGACATTTCTACAGTGAGTAGTGAACATGAGGTGCTTTTTAAAGCATTTCTGTTTCTTACTTTAAAAAACTGTACAATTTGACGTTTTTGGGGAAAAAAGCTTTTTGAATCGAATAGTTCGATGCCAGGGATCCAGCTTAAATGTGAGTGTTTTACTTGAATGTGTCACCTTGGGCTCTGGGATGTTGTACGGGGATTGGGGATGGTATTGTCTGGGATATTTTGCAATTAATCTAGAAAATAATCAGCCGATATATTGATATAAACAATAATTGTCAGCTGTGGCCGGAGATGTGTGCATTCTTCATTTAAGCAAGCGTCACCTTCGATAGCGCCGTGTCAAGGATTTTGTCTCCTGTCGTTGACATGCCAACTGAAAGAGAAGATAGAACGATTCAATAATATGAAAAAACACACACAGAATGGTGAAAACACAGATCCACAGGTTTTTTGAAGACAAGTCATTTGTCCCCAGTAATGACACAGAGGACATTAAGTTGAAGTAACACACACTGGGGGTGGGTAATGAATGGCTTCAAGACCGTAACTGCTGATCAGTGAGTCAGACAAAAATTTGTATATTGAGTTATTGACATTTATGGAGCAGAATAAAAAATGTGTACTTTACGTGCACATCTTTTTTTGTTCTCAAAAACAAAACAAAAAACCAATAAAACTGAAGTCTGGGAGGATTCTCACCTATTTCCAAGTGGATGTCAGGGTAAAGGTCTTTCAGCTTCTCCGCCACACTGTCAGTCTGGATGCGAGCCAGCTGGGATAGAAAAGAACAGAAACCTTCAACTTTAGCGGGACTCTTTTGATACTTTTTTAAAAATACAACAAAAAAAACCCTCTAAAAACAGAGTCAATGACCTTCATATCAGACTGGAGGAGAACAGTTATCTTAAGAAGACATTGTGGTGTATGTTATCTCTGCAAGAAGAGCTCCAGACATCTTTCTCTATGTGTATCTACAGCAGCATGCAGGAGCAGTGCACGAGATAACTCACAGTTAACTGACACATTAGGACTCTGCAGGATCTAAGTTCACACACTTTCATCAAAGCCGAAAAACATGAACTGGAAATACACAGCAGTACTTTACCTGACTTTTGCGGGTTCCGATCCGGATGACCCGACCAACCTTCCCATTCCCATCCTGCAAGGGAAAAAGAGAAGTTGACTAAAAGACTTTTATTACATTGTCTCCAGAAAACTCATGTCCATCAAACGGAACACTTTCTCTGCTCGCCTCACCGTGACGTATTTGTAAGGTCCATTCTCCATAATTCTGAGTCCGTACAGAGTGTCTGCACTGTGGAGGCTATTGTGTGCTCTGTGTGGCTGGGAATGCCTGCTGTGTCTTGGTAAGAAGCTGTGCTGAGGTCATATGGCCTCTAGATACTAAACAGAGGTCTTTTTTACCAGGAACCACCCCCACTTCTTCAAGATCTCCACCCCAAGATATCTCTGGTCCCCGGAGATAAGTGTGCCAATTCACCCGAGTCCGTTACAAGAGGCAGGGAGGAGCAGCTCACGGGTATAAGGTGTGGTCATTGAAATACACTGTTTGGAAACTTTCTTTCCTTAACACTCTTTATTTTCTGAATGTAACAATACTCTAAAACTATGAAAATTCAAATCACAATTCCCACTGCTGTTACTTGAGAGGAATGTTGAGTATCCGTTAAAATAGTTATGCACAGAATGAAGGGTCATATTCTTAACAATTTGCACAAACATTATCTTAAGAATCATCTTCAAGTATTCCTCCTGTATTTAAAAATGGTGATGAAGAAGTGATTTGTTTTTTTAAAGGACACTTGCTAATTATTTATTATTTTTTGACTTTGTCTGCTAAGAGGAGATGAGGATTCCATAAAATAATATAGTTATTATATCGTGAATTTGTTTGTTTCTCTTTTTATCAAGTGTCATTCTCTGCTAATAAAGAAATAATGATATGATATGAAGTGATAATGATTAATATCAACTGATGGTTTGATATAACGTTGGTGTGGGATGTTCAGCATTTTAAAAATGTCAGATTATCTGTAACAAAACATTTCTTTATGTTCTTCATGTGATATTATGGATTCACATATTCATCAAGTCATTATGTCAAAGTTTGTCAAGACCCTTACCTCAGAAATCTAACATTTTACTTGTATCCAGCCAAACATTATCTTACTACCCCATGAACTTCACTCAGTGTGTTCTCAGGGGAGCGTACGATGGACACACTTTCATTCGGCATCAGTGCAATAGAGCACAAGACACTTTACAAACTCAAAATTGACAACATGAAAACGTGATTCCCTCCCTGACGAGCAGGAAACGTGCAGTTCGTTGAACTGTCTCTAACGCAGTGAAACACAACAGCTGTGTTTCTGTTCGGTGTCTGAGCCGAATGTCTGAGTCACGTCTGTTTAAAAGTCACAAACCATGAAACTGTCAGAGGCGTCATTAGTAACCACACAGCAGCCAGGGAATCAAACTCAAGAGGAACCGCTTGTCCACTACTCATCTCACAAACCCCGCCCCTCCCGCCTCCTACCGCCCAATAGGAATCAGAGCACTGAAACTGACGGAAACGTGAGCCAATCCCCTGCGCTCCCTGCGATGACGCATGCGGAAATGGCGGTCGCCAGCGCAGGGAGCAGTGATTGAAGGCGCCTCATGTCTGGTTCAAAACCTCCGGCTCAGAAGTGTCCAGACAAACTTACCGGAGACTGTTTCTCCTCCGACATCTCGTCGATCCGCTTCCCTCCGTCGGGTGTTCGGTCAGCAGCTCGTCCGTGCCTCCATTAAAACCCCCGAAGCGTTGGAGAGGCGTCGGTGCTCCTCTCAAACTGCTCCCGCATGAATGAACCCGGAACGTCGTGATGTCATTGGACTGGCTGGAGGTCATTTCCTTGTTCCGTCCTTCAGTTTCCTATTGGAGGAGAGAGAGAGAGAGAGAGAGAGAGAAGATTTTAAAGATCAGGGTCAAATATCTGTGTTTTCTGCATGTGTCACCTTATGTGTAATGATGATGCAATCATTTATTTACAACCCTCAGTATTAAAACTGAAGTTACATGCTCGGATCATCGAGAGAACATCTTTAAAGTTCCACTAGATTCAGTTGATCGACATTTATAAGGGATGGTTCGCCCAGAAATTTTAATTCACTCATTATCTACCATGTCGACGGAGGGGTGGGTGAAGTGTTCGAGTCCACTTGACGCTTTAGGAGTCTCAGGGGTTAAACTTTGTTGCGGCCTAATCCAATGCAATTGAAGTAAATGTTGACCAATCTTTCAATTTCACATTTGCACCTCGAAACAGCGACATGTACACCATGTTTTTAGTCTAAATGTCCTCTGATAACTATCCCTTTAAATCTTGTTCTAGTGTTCACGCACGATTAAAGACAAAATAACACATCAGAAAACTCTTGTTTCACAGAATCATGTTATTTATCAGAGAGTCCAAATGTTTATCCTTCACAAGAATTGCAGCTTTTATTGACATCACTTTTAGAGGGTGTACACCTACATCTTTGGATTGAGGTCAACTCTGAAATAAAGACTAAAATGATGTTCTCAGTGTCCCTCTTACATAAGTTGTCATCAGGTTGTCATTCCAAAGTGTGATTGTGTTTTTTTTCCAGATTTGACTTGATGATCAGGCCATGATAAATAATACCACTTTTTCAAATTTCATAGATCAAGTATCCATGAGAATATAATCCCACACGAAGATGTTCAAAATGTAATTTCTTTCTATGAGGGGCAATTCGGGGTTCAGCATCTTGCCCAAGGACACTTCAGCATGCAGATGGGGAAGACTGGGAACAAACAACCCACCGCTCTACCCCTCACCCACCTTTACTTTCACTATTATAAGTAAAAGTACTCACAGTATTCCTTATTCTCTAATGCTACTACATCATTGTGGCTGCGTCTTCAGAATCCACTTCAGGTGTTTCTTCAGCAATGTAAACTTGTAACAAAATGTTGTGTAGTAGGAAGTACAAATACTTGCTCATACGAGAGGTGGAGTAAAAGTACCTGAAAATAAATCTATTTACTCAAAGTACAAAATGTTCTTGTTTATTAACAAAGTAAATGTACTTCGTTTACATCCCACCACTGGTTAATTCTGGCAGTTTGGTTCTTCGTTGTTCATACACAGTTGAAATTAGGACATCTAGTGACCAAACAAAGCTACTGCAACACTGTGAGGTTTATGGCAACACCTGAAGGCCTTCGTGTCACTTGATATTGTGCTGCAGAGCCACAAACCAGTTACAACACTGTACAGCTTTTGTAAAAGGCAAGATCACATCAAACCACGATGACCAAAGAAACAACAGGCTTAGTGTTCTCTCTGGACTGAAACCTTGTTGATCATTGTAATACACAGAGCAAGAGCAGATATTACTCAATAGAACCTGAGTAGATCTTTGCTGAGGTTTTGTTTATTATTTTGTAGGATTTTATTATGATTGCTCAACATACATGACTGATTTGGCATTTACATTTATTGATTTCATATTTGAAATGATGTGTCAGTCAAGCAGAAGTCATTTTTGAAAGGCACATTCTGAAATATGATGTCAACACTGACTTTAATTGAGATGTAAATCTACAAGATGTTCAGTGCTTAAGTGAAACTATACCTCGTACACGTACACATATATAACAATACTGTTTGACACACTTATATGTACAGCGAAGGCCTTGCTAGTTAGTTGACCTTCTCCGTTCAAGCTCCTTCTCAACATCATCCATAAGGACGTTCGTCTGGCGAGCGTCTCATCCTCTGTTAAATCTCCAAGACACATTTTCATTGTTAACATACTTTCTCAGGGACTTGGTATTTGAATGTGCCTTCATCTTTAAATTTAAACAATTGCTGATTATTAATAGAAATAAAGTGTTGAATACTGATATCATCTGTTTCCCACCTTGTTAAGTCACCGTTGATAATTATTGTGAGAAATCATTAACGTGATCAGTGTCTTCACGTCGATGAGTATCATTTATCATTAATAATAATATATAAATAACTAAGGGCAAACTGAGCAAATGTATTATTTCAGAAGCGTGTACCAACCTGGTGGCCCCTCGTATGACTCAGTACCCATGAAGTAGCTCTCAGTTTAAAAAGGTTGGTGACCCCTGGTTTTAAAACCTTTCTTTACATTTCACTTTTATCGCATCTGTTGCACTTTCACATCTACATTTCTGCCACGTGACCTTTTAACCTTTGCCTTCAGTTCTGTATTTGTGTGGATCCTCATCATTATTACCAGGTTATTATTACTTCTCTGTGTTTTCACACTGACAAAGCACGTGGATGAGAGAGGACAGCGTCCGCAGCGTGTCTGGGAGCTGATCGGAAGAAGAAGAAGAAGAAGAAGAAGAAGAAGAAGAGCCGCCTGTGGAAGTGTCTCTCTCTCTCTCTCCGGTTATTTATGCAACGCCAGTGTGGGGCCCACGTCACTGGCTCCACAGTGGGCTGATCCAGCGCTGCTCTTCCGGTGGAGACGTGGCTCTGTGCTGCTGCCATATTGACGCTAGCGAGCTAACAACCGCACAGCGAGAAGTCAGCTGCACATTCGCACCTTGTTGTTCCAGAGTGATAAAAAAAAAAAATCCCCTCCGAGCTGAGACACGCGAGACACCGAAGACCCGTCGTACCATAGCGAGGGACCAAAATGGTGAGTTTACCCCCCCCCCCCCCGCCTGTGATCGGGCCTTGCAATTATCACAACATTGGCTAAACCTGGCGAAGTAGCTAATGGCTAGTCTCGGTTAGCTAGCTTGTCGAGGAGAGGAAGCACACACAGGCTTCGCCCCGTCGGGCTGACAGCTTCGGCTCGCTGCTTCCACGTTGAAGTCAGACGAATGGACCGTCGTTTCATTCCCCGGGTGAATGTGAAGCGGAGCGGGCGACACTGACCGCGCTGCTACCGCTGACGTTTAACTTAGCGCTACAAGCTAGCGCCGAGGTTAGCTCCTGTCATTAGCAGGATCCGGGGTAGATCTGCTGTTCTCAGCCGGACGACCCCATGAGCCGAATATAAAGCGTGTGTGTGTGTTAGTACACTTCTCATCCTCGCTGGTTCTGTGACAGCTGTTGCTCGTTGATGTCAAGGTGAGAGACACAGTGAACTGAGCTTCAGCCATTGTCAACGTGGAATTACTGCACCAGCCACCCTTCAGGACTGTGGTGATGCAAAATGGGTTTTACGACCTGTCAGACATTAACACACAACTTAAAAAACTACCTTACGGCAGCTGGGTCCAAGTTACAGACTTACAAGTTGTTTCTGCTCATAGTGGAGGGGGGGGGGGCAGTTACTTCTATACTATTCATTCTCATCTATATTAGTTTTTAATGTTGTTTTTGTAACGTCATTTCTCCACACATTGCCCAACCCTCATGGTTTCACAACTTTCTTGCCATGAATGTCTATTTCCCCAAGATCAAGAAAGTAAATCTGCTTTTAAAGTTTTTAAAAAGTTCCCTGCCTGGAGCACAACTCAAGTTTTCATTTATCCTCCAGCCAGAATAATACGTAATAATAATAATAAAACACAATGTCTTGACAGGACAATAGAGCAAGATGTGAACCTTATTTTTAATTTCACAAACAGCTCAAAACAAACATAATTTAACAACACATGCTCTCACCTGCAACAACAACCTCCTGTGGCATCTTAAGTTAAATAAAAAATATTCATTGTCATGACATATAGTTCACTCTTGCCTTCTGTTATCATTTGTTCACTCAAATTTTGATTGTCCAATATGTTTTTTTTTCTTCTTTTTACTTAATCGTGTTTTCTCCTCACCTGCAGGTGCTGTTGGCAGCGGCGGTGTGCACCAAGGCCGGCAAGGCCATTGTATCGCGGCAGTTTGTGGAAATGACCCGGACTCGTATAGAGGGTCTCCTGGCTGCATTCCCCAAACTGATGAACACGGGCAAACAGCACACCTTTGTGGAAACAGACAGTGTTCGCTATGTGTATCAGCCTCTTGAGAAACTCTACATGGTCCTCATCACCACCAAGAACAGCAACATCCTTGAGGACTTGGAGACGCTCAGACTCTTCTCCCGTGTGGTAAGAAATAACGGCATCTTCCTGCAAATTGCTGCCACATCTGCCACAAGTTGGATTTATAGATATTCAACGTTTTCTACATTTGAAACCTGAATGTAAAATGGATTATTAATCATTTAATTTAAGTGCATAAACATAAAAAAAAATCTAATCTTAATGCCATAATAGCTTTGATCATGCTTTCCCATACTGCTTGACTAGCATAGATACCTGTCCCAATATAAATCTAAATGAGGCAAACAACAAATGTACATCTTTCTGTGCATCAGTTTTACAATATTTACACCCTGTAAATCTGTGACGTTTGCTCATACTGTCCAGTTAGCAAACTGCTGTGCACTGCCTTTCTCTTTCATTTTCTGATAAACATCTTGGTTGCACAAGAAACATGACACAATGTACACAGGGTTGATGTTTTGCACAAGAAGTTCATATTTTCTACCTAGTGATTTCCGGTAGATTAATGCAGTTGTGTGATCTTTGATTAGCTAAAAGCTTTGGGCTGAAGAGCAACAAATGTCTGACACTATTTGAAATAAATAGATTTAGAATCTAATGACATCAGATGAAGGAACTCTCCTCTTGCAGCAACCGAATGAAAGATCTGTGGCCGTAACTTATGTTGAGATCAGGGTGCACAGCCACACTTGAGCTGTTTTCAGACTTGAATTCCAGAGGATGTCTGCAAAATTGGGTCCAGACTTAATGCAGAGGTTTTGCTGCTAGTCTTGGTTCTTCGATCACTTGGCGCTGCTGCCTGTGATATGAGCCTGAGAAGACAACACATGGGTAG